ATGCTGCAAAACCAGATGTAAACCATGGCCGTTCAGGGCGTCACCGACGATGCCACCTGCCGTCCTCTGCTGCACAGGCAACGGCAGCGGCGGAAGTGGCTGACGTACCCGTCTATCCCGCTGCGGCTGAAACACCGCCCCGCCAGCTGCGCCCTGCTGCGCCATCAAAAGCCGTGGCGGCGGCCGGGGCGGCGGCCATACCCCTCCAAAGCAACCGGCGGCTGACAGCTGTTGCTGTTGCTGCTGTTGCTGCTGCTGCTGCTGCTGCTGCTGCTGCTGCTGCTGCTGCGGTCGCCACGGCACTTCGTTGGCTAGGCGCTGCCATGGTGGCAACATTGCTCCAAGTTGGCGTGAGCGTTCATAGTTTAGCTGCGCTACTCCCTCTACCTCCGAATGTAGTAGTGGTGCACTCGGCCCGTGCGTACCGGTAGAGCAGTATCCCGGTCCCGTATGTACCCCAATGGCAGACGACAGGGGCGTATGTGGTTCCGCGAATTCGAAACCATCACCTGATAGCTCCCCTGGCGTCCCCAAGGCCTCCGATGCTTGGGACATCTGCACAGCTGTAGCAAGGAACGAGTGCAGCACCCTGCCGCGACGTTCACCGGCCCCGAAGCCCTCGCATGAATTTCCTGCATCTCGTCCCAAACTCCGCCGGGATGATGGGCTTTGCGACTGCGTGGCGTTTCGCTGGTGGTGATTCACGTCCACTCACACTTCTGCGAGCCGCTCCGATAGCCGCAGGAGTGTCGCAAGGAAATGTGTTCGCGACGGTGGCTACACCGCCAGGCGCGCCGCTGACCGACAGATGGGAATTGCCCGACGGCTCGCTACCGGAAGAGGTCGCTGTCCGTTCTCGAGGAGGGTTTTGCTGCAAGAAGTTGGAACTCTCTCCAGTGTTCGCGCATGGGGCTGCGGGCAAGGGGTGCGACAACGGCTTGTGCTGGCGACCAGCCGCACCATCCACGCAGTCATCCGCGCCTGCATCATGATCAGCATCATGATGCGCGCCGCCAGCAGAGCGCGTGCTCGGCAGCATGCCGCTCACCTCCTTGCATCAACGACTGACCGCTGCTGTGGTGGCCAACGGTGGAAGCCACGCTATGCAATGCTCTCTCTAGAGGCTACGTGTCGATAAGGTAGCACGGCCGCCCTGTCCGTCCTTCACAGCACGCGCACCTCGTGCGCGGCGTGCGGAGAAATGTAGCTACAGCGCCGGGGTTTCCCCACCCCAGGAGAGCTTTGTGAATAGAACCAAAAAGAGGTTCACCGAGCGAGCGCGCGCACGCGCATCTCCAACCAATGAGGAGACAGTAAATAAATTTAGAAGTAAAGATCCCTTCGCACGGATGGTAAAATGTACTGGTAATCGGAAGTGTGTGGAGTGCAAAAATACTTGCTGTGATGGCGGGTAATTCTGTTCGACCTGTCAAGAACTCAAGAACTCCTTCAAGTTGAAAAGATACAAGCGCATGGGTGGGTGCACACATGCCTTCTTCGGGGTATCCACACTACTGCTGTGAGAGACAAAATTAACCCGAAGCACTTGCGACGGGCGAAGGAAAGGGTGGCATACATACGCAATATGCATACGCACAAGATGAGCATGTACCCTGCTATCTATCTAATAGATGCTAACCCACCCATCGTTCATCTGCATTCTGCTCTCATCATCGGATAGATCGCGCTGATACTGTTGCGTACGCCTTCGGATCGTTAGATATACCGGGTAAGTCGGAATCGCAAGTACAGGGAATTTTCCCCACGTGAAGGAGATGTTCGACACAGAATCTCACTCCTTCACTAAATCCCATACGTTTCCGGAAAACAATCTGTCTACCGTATGACGACCTTGGATTCCCGATATTCCGTTACACAATAAAAAAGAATGAGTGACCATATGGAAAAGATGTCCCTCCGCACGCCAGCTTGCTGCAGCATTAAGGAATAATAAACACACACAGAAAGACTACCCATGAACCATCACCCCACACGCCCCCCGTCCCACACTACATTCACACCTCGTCAACCCCTCCAACTTGAACACTGGTGAGTGCGGGTTGCGAGTCCTTCCCGCACCGCAGCAAGAGCAGCAGTGGCACGCACGTGTTGTATAGTGTCGTTCAGGTTGCGCCCTGCGGCGGTGAACGGGCGAGCGTGCGTGCGGTACGCTCTCAATATGCTTCTTGTATTTTGTATTTTGTTGGCGGGTGACCACCCCGAGAAAATCGTGCTGCTTTTTTTTTTTGTGCGACCCCGGGTCCCTCGCAGTGTTGTGTTGTATTTTTTTTTGCGCAGTCTGCAGCAGCAGCAGCAGCAGTCGGTCTCCCGCTCACTCCCCCCCCTGGTATCACTTCGCCACAGCACACCCCTTTTTGCCGCCCACCCCCCGCCGCGCCTCCGGCTGTCTCAGGGCCGCCGCCTCGACTCCCTCTCTTGCATTGCGACGCGAGGAATCCGCTAGTCTACCCACCCGCGACAAAGTCAGAGTCATGGCGAATGTTGAGGATGGGAGCAATGCCGCTGCTGCTGACACGGGCGACCAGATCTGGGGCGGACGGCAGAGCTCGGGCAAGCTGACGAGAAAGCGCGTGATGGCGGGAGGCGCCCTCCTGGGCGCCGCGGCGCTCGCGGTCGGGCTGTACGTGGGTCTCAAGGACGATTCCAGCACCGACCGAACGCTCATCACGGGTCAGTCCGACCCCAACTCCCTGGGGTGCTTCGCGGACACTAGCGATGGAAGAGTTATGGAGGCACAGCTCACTGACCAAGCCATGACCCCCGATGTGCGTATGCGTGGTCGCCTTCTTGTGTGTCTCTGCGTGGAAGGGTTGAGTAAGCTTGCAGAGAGAGAAAGAGAGAGAGAGAGTGTCGTGCGAGAGAGACAAACGTAAGCAATCCGGCGGCACTGCAACAAGCTGACTCCCCCTTTAGATAAGTGAGCTGCTTTCGTGCCTTGACAGAAGAACATTGATCCGCGATACAGAATATCCAAGGGCCAGCAAGCCGGCGCCGTGCTCTGCTCTCCGCTACAGAAGTGACCGGCACGCCCAGACTTTTGGGGGGTTGCACTGGGGGTGGTTGCAGTTCAGAGACAGGGGCGGGTGTCCCGCCCTCGTGTTGAACATGGTGCTACCCCTTTCGACGGGCAAACAAACAACGTTGTCTTTTGTCTCTCTCTCGCTCGTCGGTTCTGTTGTCGGAATTGTGATGCAAATCCCCCTCTCGTCTCTTTTGTATCCAGGGCCAAGCTGTGTGCCACTCAGCACATCAGACCTACGATGGTCGGGAAAGCTGATGCTTGTAGTGCGTCTGCTGCGCCGCCCGTCAGCGCTACGCGCCCGTAAACCAAAAATGCAAAAGCTTGCATGCAGATCCACGATCCTCTCACAGGCCTGTATGTGCTGCCGCGCGGCCGCGAGAGTTTTATTTTCTTTTGGGATGCAGCCGGGGCGCTCCGTCAACTCAGAGGGTGAAGATTCTCATATGTTTTGCCTCCCAAATCCGCTGGCCATGCTTTCTCAATATTTACTGCTGTGACAATACGCCCTTCATTCAATACTCACGCCTTCCTTCCCCTGCTGCGTGCCATGCCCGCTTACAGATGTGCAACGCGTACTGCGAAGATCTGGGGTACTACTACTACGCCGTTCAGTGGAGCATCGAGTGCTGGTAAGATTCATCAACTCACCGTCCAACTCTTGCGACATGTGGGATACATCGTATCTACATATCCGTTTTGCTGTTCCGAGTTGGTGGAAGCATAATGCCATGTGCGGGGGCGGCCAATTCCTGTTTACCTTTGCCGTCGCTGTATTCAGCTGTACTGCACGTATGTTGGCGAGTCTCATTATTGTCTTGATTGCGCATCACGGAGGTCCGCGGTTTGAGAGCTTTGTGTAAAGGCAATTTTGCGCGCCAAAATTGTTGCCGCACCACGCGAAATCTATCTCCCCTTGTTCTTCTGAACGGCTACAAGTAGTAGTTTCCAGCGTGAACGGCTACAGATGAACCACCCACCCCCTGTCACATGTGCCCCCCACCCTGCGGCTAACAACGACGATACCAAGGTGTGCTCCACTGGTTCATGAACGATAGTTTGACATCATCAGCGTTTTGGCCAATGTACTGTACGTCCTCTCGCTTTGTATGAATTCAGGTGTGCTCCTGAGACCACAACCGCTGACGAACTCGCGGTCCACGGCCTCGGGACTTGCGACTTCGCTTGCGGGGGTGACAGCGACCAGATCTGCGGAGGGTTCTGGGCCTTTACTGTCTACGAAGTCGGTGAGGGTTGATTATCTGTGGCCTTGGCCTGGTACACACTTCCAAAGCCACAGACAGCAGCCTCGGGCCGACCTCTCGGAACAAATCTGTCGGCCCAGTGGGCGCATCTGCTTGCCGTTGGATCGAAATTTACGCTGTTCCGCGCTTAAAGTATTTTCTTCATATTTGTGTCTCTGCGTGAAGCATTTCATTGCCAATGCATATGGACTGCCGTGATTGTGACTTCAGTCGCTTACACTACGCTTATTACCTTACACGCCAGCGAAAACCGGATGCACGAATCTGCAGACGCGAATGCGTCCACGGGGTGTTGCCTTGCTAGCGGGGTGTTGCTGGCGTAGCGGGGTGTTTTAGGTGTTCGATTCTCCATACTCTTCTTATTTTTCAATCTCGTGTATCTCGTTTTGCAGATGGCCCGCCGGGGGGGGAAGGGGGGGAAAGCACGCCTGAAACCTAGCCGCCCCTCTCAAATCGCGCTTTTTCGCACGACCACAGCATGAAGCACCATCAACCGTCACCGTCATCAGCCGAGCCGCCCTCGACGCCACCCCATCCTTGTCCCGCGCTTGCTTGCTTTCTGTCTCGACCTTTTTTGCTTTGTTGACGACAGGAACGGAGTCCACGACCCCTACCCCGTCGGCGACGACGTCGTGCGACTCTGCCGCAACTGTCCGCTTTACCGACGACATCGCTTGTGAGTTTCTAGAGTGTCTTTTCTTCCTTGCATACTAGAGAGTTCGCTGTTCGTTGTTCTGATTTTTCCAACGGCTTTTTCGGTTTTTCAATCGATCGATCGACCGGAAAATTCTCTTCGTTACAAAGGGCAAGATGGCTGTTTGTATACATATCATGCCGGACGCTGTCGTATCTCGCACCGCACAGCAGCGGGGCCCCGTAGTGGCATTTTTCTAAAATGTACCTGAATACCTTACAAATGTGCTCTCGGGCGGCGAGGAGGGGGCGGTTGTATGGCGTGAATGACGTCCAATGCACGGAATTGAGTTTTGGGTCCGGATTTACATACGCTGAGTGCCGTTTCACTCGAGACCACGTTATGTGGATACCATGTATTTTCTGTAGAGCTCAACCTATCCATCTCCCCTCGTCACTTACTTACCTTCACGCCCAAATAATCGCTCAACCGTTGCAGACTTCGAGGGCGGCGGGTGCGGCACCCTGACCCAAATGTACGAAGCCCAGGAGGGTGACGGGCCCCTGTACGTCCTCGACGAGAACAACGACGTAGTCGGCGGAACCCCCACCGGGTACTGGCTGCTCGACCGCAACCTTAGGGTGGTGGACGGATCGACCCTCCTTGTGCACGGCACCGCCGCGAGCGGCGATGCGGACGTCCTTCGGCTCCTCTCGACTTCCGATGACTTCATCGAGGTCCGTGGGTACGGAGGCAACCTGCACTTCCAGTCGACGACGGTGACGTCATGGGACACTGACAACGGCCAGGAGAGGGAGTGGGACGGCGACGGGCGGTCCTTCATCAACTGCGTGACCCAGTTCGACGACAGCGCCATCTGGGACTGTGACGGGCGTTCCAACCAGGAGTGGGGAGAGTGCAGGATGGTGAGAGGTGGAACGGGCAGTGGGTGAATGTCGTGTGGTGGTAAGTTACCTCTTCGGATGTGGAACTAAATTGCTGATGAGCGCGGTGAAGTGGGAGTCGCAGACATTTCGGAGATGACTCGCATTCACTCATTTAGCCGTTGTCCCATGTCTCAGGAGTATTCAATGGAGCTACAGCAGTATGCAATGGAACTCTTGTGCCTCCGAAGCAACACTCGGGAAAAGCGAGAGTTCAATTCAGGCGTTCTCATTTCTACCGGTAAAAACTCAAAAAAACATACAATCGTTTTTATACCTAAAAGGACAACCCACCTTGACGATTGCAGGATATCATCAGCTCCACGATGGGTAACATGGGATGGTTCGACGCCGAGTCGTACGGCCTCACGTGGAAGGTCCGCGGCGCTTGCGAGATCGACCCCGACACCGGGGTGCCCTACAACCACGAGATCTTCGAGGACCACAACGTGTACGGCGACATCCTCAACTCGGAGATCTACGGCATGTACTACGGGCACTACTCGTACGGCCACCAGGGAGGCGTCTGGGACAGCAACATCATGAGGGACAACATCCAGTACGGATTCGACCCCCACGACGACTCGGACGACCTGACCATTTCCAACAACATCGTCTATGGCAACGGCAACCACGGTGCGCGCCGAATTCATGTTTCCTGCCCCCGTTGCTTTTTTTTTTTTCTTTCAGCAGTAGTAGCGCCGCATCTGTGTACGGTCCAGCTAACGCTAGAAGAAATGCGTACCACTTCCACGAGTTCCGATACGTGTTTGCGTTTTTTGCCTCCGGCAGACGAATGACTAGTGCAAGACTCCTCTCTCTTGACCTTTGTTTTCTCTTGTGTGCTTCACATTGGTGGATCAGGTATCATCGCCTCCAAGCGCTGCAACAACGTCAAGATTTTCAACAACGAGGTCTACGATGGCGGAGAAGACGCTGTGGGTATCTTCCTTCACCGCAGCTCCGACGGCGCTGAAGTTCACGGTAAGCAGTTTTTTGAAGTGTGTTTTGCCGGATTGTTTTCGTCTCATCTCACCTTAGCTGAAATTCCGTTCCCATGTTTTCTTCCTATAGCAGCATCAACCCTGTGACTTCCGATGATTCGCTGTAAAGAGTTTGTTACTGCCCCCCGCTTAAATCATAAACGATGATGACGGCATTTTCTCATACTCGTGCGGATTGTCTTGTTTCTTCTTTCTTGTCCAGACAACGTTGTCTACAACATGCAGGACGCAGGTATGGCGATGATGGAGTCCTACGACGCCAATATCTACGATAACTCGTTCACCAACTGCCGTTACGGCATCCGGCTGTCTCTCGGCAGCGGGCGCAACATCATCACGAACAACTTGTTTTCCGGCATCACGCAATGTGAGAATTGGAGAACCTGGTTGGGCCAGTCGGAAGTAAAGGCGAATGACGTGACTGCCCATCAAACTCGTTGTTTGTGTCTAACCTTCGCCGCTGAAAACAAACACGAAGCACGCAAGGCATTGCCTTTCGTCGGCTGTATCGAAGTACGTGTTCGGACTCAAATGTTGACTGGTAGTTCCTCCTCGTCGTCGCCTGTGTCGTGCCTTGTTCCTGCAGACGGCCTCTACACGTACATGGGCAGCGACGACCCGGACGTCCCCAACAGCAACGGCCGCCCTTCCGACAACGTCTTCGACGGGAACACCATCGAGACGGACGGCGACAACATCGGTGTCCACATCAAGGAGGGCGACTCGAACGTTTTCATCGGTGAGTCTTTTATTTTTACTCCACGTGCTTGCGTTCGGGGGGGCTGTAACGAAGCACACCGTAGATGAAGCGTGCCGGAGAATGTGTTGGCCACACTGAAGGATGCCATCTCGTTCATGATAGATATCGCACGCCTTGCCCTAACATACGGTGTTGTTTTTTTTGCCCCATGTGATTTCTCTCTGACGTTTCCGTCTGGCTTTGTTGCGTTTTCCTCCTTTCCGCGCAGACAACGTGTTCACGGGCGTGAGCACCTACGAGTTCGAAGACTCGTCGGACACCACCTGGGTTGACAACACGGGCGGTGGGTGCCTCGACGGAAGCACCGACTTCGCCGAGGGGGGTATTACCGAGTGTTGAGTAAGTAACGCACAAGAGGGATACTTTGTGGATCTAGAGACACGGTACGCGGGGTTTGCGCTTCGAAGGGACCCCCACGTTTGCGTCTCTGTTGATTGTGGCGGCTCGTTTTTTTTCCCATGGGATTGTCAAGAAAAGCCCGGGAAAAATAAACGAGAGCCGATGTTATGGCGCGTGGCTGCGCGGGCGGGACTTCCGTGTGCTTTTGTGTCGTGTTGATGTGCGCGCTGAGTGTTTGCACTCGGCTTGTAGAGTGTCTTTTCGAGACCCCGGTTCTCGTGTTCGGCAGTCGTCGGTCTTTCGTGTAGAGCGTTCGATCGGGCTAAGAAAACAAACAAAAACGTTTGGTAGGAGGACGATCTTGTACCGCCCTTCCTAGATTGCGAAAGAAGATTGCGAAAGATGGACATATGGTTGTCCCGTGCATGCCGGTGTATTTTTCTTGATTCGTTGGGTGTCTCGGTTGGTTGTTACAGTGCATTTTCCTACCATTTATATACCTTTGCGTATTTTCGGTTTTTGGTTTTTGTGCTTTTTGTTATATTTTGGATGGTACGCTCCGCAGAATGAAGCGGTCAACCACGAGCTACGCCCGCCTCTTTTTGTTTTGTTTTTGGAGGATGACTCGACCCCACCTCCAAAATTCAAGTGAAGAGTGTTCCGTGTGCTTTGGTAGGCTTGAATCGGTTGGAACTTTTTTCTGGCCTTGGCTCTCTGCAGTAGAAGCGTCCTCCCCCCCTGCATTTCCCCCCCTTCCATCTTATTGGTTGTGTGCCGTACATATGCATTTGCCGTCGCATACAGGTAATACGAGTTCGTAAAAATACCAAAGTTCGTAAAAATACTGGCATGTCTGCACGGGTGCCCTTTGCCGGCGATTTTTGTCTGTCGTCTTCCCGAGTTTCTTGAGCCGAAGAGAGGAGAACTGTCGCGCCCGATTTCGAGGATGTTGATGATCTTCGCCGCTATGATTGATTTGACCTGTAGCGCCTGGTTATCTGGTCGCTGGACAGACGCCGCTGGGTTCGACTGGTTGTTGTAAAAGTAGCCGCATGTAGTTAAGGGCCTTCTGCCGGTGGAAGCGCCTTGTTTGCGCGATACACCGCCGTTGGGTTGGGAATGCCTTTTAATTGTCTTTTTTGTTTCAGGGGCATAGTGCGCAAGG